AATTAACCGTTACTACATCTAGGGAGGAACTGCTGCTTCAATTACACTAATAAGAGTCTGCAAACCAGAGGGCTGTGCGCTAAAAGTTGACAGGCAAATGAAGAGACATGTCAGAATTCTAATATATGCTATTTGTATCTTCTGTTTTCTAAAGATTACTATTGCACATGCCACGTTATCCTCTACAATAGAGCAGAAAGGAAAGAAGTGATAAAAATATGGCCTAATAAAATCAATATATGCACGCTGTAAAATCAGCAGCTGAAGCATAGAGAAACATGGCACCGTGAACAATTGTGCCTTTGCCTTTGTATTTCATATTAATGTACCCCACTCCTGATTTTATGTTCAAAATGCAAAAAAGGAGAGAAAAAAAAACCACGTTGCAAATAATGGGAACATCTTACGCAGCTGGCAAATAAAATGCCAACATTCTAATCTAAAAATAAAGGGTAAACAGAAAAAAAAGTGTTGGTTGCTATGTCATACCTGTAATCATTTTGCTTACATAGTAAAAAAAAACATTCAACATTCTTTTGAAGGCGATTAAATGAAACTAGCTTCTATTAGGCTTAAAACGGCAAGTAAACCTTCTTAAAGAAACTAAAATGCATTACCTGTCTAAAGCGATTGTTAAAGCAAAAATAATCATGAAGCAGTTATAGCAATTAAGTCCTAAACCCAGAAAATGAATTGCTCTTCCTTCCTCCTAGAGTAAATAAATTGCTTCTTAGGAGATAATTTTATGGTGCTTCTGAATTTAGACTATTTAATTAATAGTACATTATTTCCCACTAACATAGTAATTTCTCAAAATATAAGAGATCTATTAATATGGGAAAGGCATTTTTATTGTCCTTTTGTGAATGCGGTAAACACAAGGGGAAGGTCTCGCTTCTCCCTTATAATCATGTCATTATGTACAGCATACCCAATTGTGTTGTGTTTGTTTGGCTGATACAAGGCTCATCTGTAAATGGTTTACACACTGACGGAGTTATTGCTAGCCAATGATTATTTAATGCTTCTCGGTGGAATTAACATGACAAGTCTTCATGCATGAAAACGGCTGTGTAATCCTTACTGGTCTCTTCTCTTTATAGCTCATTGCTAAATATACAATGTATTTAGAAGCAGGTAGTAAAAAGGCTTTTTTTGCAACAGGTATATTGCAGGATTGGAGTTTATTGAGACTAAATTGTAGCTCCAAATACCAACCAGTAGGGTGAAAAATCTTTCTCCTGAACCCTGTGAAATCCAGGGTATATGGTGAGGGCAATGGGTACATAGTTTCTCTATAACCAGGTCCAATACAAGCACTACTAAAGGCGCCACCTGCAGACAGGGCCATGAGTACACACAGTACCACATGTCTTGAATGATAATGCTTATGATAGAGAGGGGGCTTGAAAGTGGTTCCTCTACAAGTTAGCAGTTCATCTGCTTCTTTCAATTAAAACAGACCGCTGGGAATTAAATGCAGTTGAAAGTAGCTAGTGCCAGTATTGGTTCTTATTAGTCAGTCATTCTCTCTGCCCACAGGCCATCAGTTGCCAATTTATACTATGGCCATGTAAGTAGTAAAAACGGGTATTTCATTCCTTAAGGCTCAATTCATAAAGCTTTATGCAATGTTAAATATATTTATGCCTTTTATTGACCAGGTTATGTTTTTTTTTTTTAAGCTTAGATGCCCAAACCAAGTTTAGCAGTGCCAGCATGCATCAATTAACTTGACAAGAATTCTGTGATTTACTTGTCTGTTTGACAAATTAATAAAACAGACTAAACAAAGGTTAGTCAGACAAACGGATCTGAGAACTGGCAACACAAACAGCGGCAAATTCCTATTTTTCTGCTGAAAGCTTAATTAACATTCTTACCTCAAGGGGAATTTCATATTTGGAATTCAAAGTCATATTATGGTCACTAAGAGGTTATTTTCAGTCACCTGAATTTTAAATCTCATTGGCTATCACTTTTTTTGAAAACAAGGATCCTTTTTACCGGTTTGCTATATTTGTGAGTTGAGCCTGAAGAGCAGAACTGTAGTCCAGTAAAGGAACGTTAAAATCAAATAACTGCCAAAACTCATTTTTATATAGTAATGCAAATGTAATCAACGAATTGGCCCAGCTTTTACTCAGGTGTAAAAGAATAAGTAGTGGCCTTTTGCTGCCCTCACATGCCAAAGCTGTTGCCACCTTTGACCCTGTTGCTTTCCCTTCTTCCTGGATGCTTCATCCACCCACAAGCCAACTTTACAGGGCACTCAAAAGACGCCGCACTAAAAAGACACTGCTATCAGTCCTCTATAAGTCTGCCCTCAGGTTACATGGTGTCACCATCCCAGCAGAGTACTTCACATTCTGGCATTTCTGCTATGCCAGGAACACTACATCGTTGTGCATGTGCAGTCCACTACACTAATTCTAAAACTTGCATAGTGCATTTTTAAAAGCTTCCCAGGGACAAAGAGCTTTACGGAGCCTAATGGACTAGCAAATAATATGCAAGTGTTTATAAGGGTGGAACAGATATAAGGTGTATTTCCGCTTTTGCAGCCAAAGTGGGATTACGCCTATATATCTATTTGATACATTTTCCAATTCACATAGCATAACTTTAAACAAAAAACATTAAATTAAGTTAATGTTTACAATAATTAACCCTGTCTGTACTGTGCTATTTAATTATCAGTTGTAAACTAAATTTGAACACTGTCTGTCCTAACAAAAGATTATAGATTGAGAAGCTTGGCTTCTTGCATTGTTTGTTAATGAGGGAAGGCACTGAGGAGCATAAGAAAGAAATTATTTATTAATTTCCTATGTTCCTCAGGTCCATCTAGTAGCCAAAATGAAGTATTACATTACATACAGTACATTCGACCTGAAAAGAACATCATTCGTTTTTGCTTCTTTTTGCACAGAACAAACATTCAAAAAGATTTGTTGGGTAAATGGCTCTGCAAATTGATTACAATTTGGCCCATTTAAGTTCCACTTGGATTAAATAATGGAGAGGGTCATTGACAGCTCAACAAATCAGGAATCTTGGATTGCACCGCAACCAATCAAGAATCTTGGATTGCAGGGCACTGCATGCCATATTAAACCACTCAAAAGAACTTTAGATATCAATTGCAAAGAACAGCTCTTCCACATAACAATAGTTGACAAACTATTGTGAAGCATTAAGTGCTCTTCAAAATATCTATTATCTTCTAGCACATAAATATAGTGGAGTTAATCTTAGTTGTCTTTTACATGAGAAAATCTGAAGGCCAAAGGAAAAAAAAATCTGTCCTTGACAAGCACAGTATGTGTATAGGCTACTTCAGTCACTTGAATTCTTTTAGGTTCAAGTTTATAAGTATTTGTTTTGTGAATCAGAAGCCCACTGTGCACCTGGAAATGACAGTGCTACATCACATTTTATTTATTTATGTTTAGCACTGAACAAATATAAAGCCATTGAATCTGGGATATATAAAATATTGCATATTAATATTTAATGTGTACCCCTTATAGCCGGCAGCTGAAGGGATATGCTCTTTCTGAAATTCAGATACAGGTATTGTACAGAAAATATATAAGGATCATTTCAAGGAGGGACACCCTCCTTCCTCTTCCAATAGAGTCAGGGTCTTAATTAGACGATTTAGAGAGGCTACCACAAAGCATGCTAGCAGTAATGAGCATGCTTTGTAAACTGAGAATCATGGATACAGCCTGTAATAAAGGCTTATTTGTAAAAAAAAAAGATATTATACGAGTAATTAAAAATGATACAAAGCATCAGTTTCTAAACTTGTAAATGTCATGAGAAATATATAGAGGCTGCCATTACTGAAAATGTTATATCTCTGGCTGTCCTACTGACTCCTTTTCTTTCATTACAGGTTCCTGTTAAAGTACCAAAAAGCCTAAATATTAAAAGCCTACAGCTACTAAGGCAATTTACAAAATCTTATGCAAAGCTCCCATAGCTATGGAAAAACTCTCTGTAATTACATTGACTGGAGAATAACGCATGTTTCTATATTATCTGCAATTTTAGGTTTAAAATGAACATACTGCATTTAATATTTGGTTTTTTTCTGTATTTATTTACTGCGTTCAGGACTAAAAAAATTACCTTTTTAAAATGTTTTCTGTCAGCAGGTGGTAATTTAGGCATATTTTTTTCACATATATATCCAAGGACAGCGTTTAAGATTTACAAAATCTTGAGCCACCCGACTCTAAAATGTAATAGATTTTAAGGGGGCAATCCTGCGCTAAAACACAAAAAAGTAGTGGTTCCCCCCTTTATATCGAAGTCCTCCCTTAAATCAGGAACACCCTTTCAGAGCCCCTTTTACATCAGTGTCCCCCTTCACATCAGAATCACATCAGAATCCTACCATCACATTAGGAGCTACAGGTGGTGAAGGTTGGGAGGGCGTTTCCCAAAATTCCAAGGCACCCTTGGAAAGCCAGAGGGCACTCCATGGTGTCCCGGCACCCTGATTGAGAAAGGCTGTCTTAGAGCAATATAATTCAACTACCTAACAGCACAGCTAGGTCCTAGACTTTGATGCAGACTGCACTGCAGTCAGGTACTACAGCCTGGACCAGGATCTGGAACAGCCAGTGACTGCAAAATAAGATTGACCAATGCAATGGTGACATTATTGCAGTGTTCTCTCTCCTATAAGCAATAGAGCCTAGACAGAATTTTTGTATCTATACATAACTGGATTACATGGGTCTTTGAATATCTGTCTATATACGTAGTGGTTTTATGTAATTAGTTCAGTCTTCTGATTGAACATTTTTTTCAAACTATGTAACTATTACTGGAGTTCAGTTTTAATTGCAAAGTGACACATTTTAAGTAAACACAGCGGGTGCTGGCAATCAAATTAGCTTCCTGTATTCCATTATATCAGTTGCTGGATATTTTACTGAAGCAGAAACCAGACTGGAAGATAATTTAATGTTGTATCTTCTTACCTAGCAGTATTATAATGCAGAGGAGAATGGCAATCAATGCTCCTGTACTCAATCCAGTGGGGTGGCTTAGAGCTTCGGCTGTACAGGACTGCATGTTACCCTTGTGGTCGCAGGCACACACGCGAATGGTCAGAGTACCAGTGCTACTCTGCACAGGGAACCCATAATCAGAAATGACCACTGGTAAGAGGTATGTGTTCATCTCATGGCGGCTGTATCCATTTCTTTTAGTGTATACGCTGGCTGTGTTATCTGCAATAAAAGCAAATGTTGTTATAAACACTTTCGTAAAAGACACAACAGTCACGCAGCAATTATTTGCGCATACTTACCTCTGTTATCTCTGATGGTGAAGTTGTGAGCTGTCGGTGTAGTTAATGAATAAGAAAACTGAAGTCCACTGAATGAATCATCCTTATCCACTGCACTGACAGTGTGTATTATCTGGAATGAACATATTTTAGTAAGTACACAATTACCAAACATTTTTCTTCATAACAAAATAAAAGTGATAACATTATATTAACATACAGCAAACTCTGTTAAATATGTGCAAATATAATGCAAAATGTGTCTGTATTCAATTAACATATCCTTCTAGAGTAGTTATTTAGTAGCAGGTATGGCAATTCATGTCCAGTATGCCTGCAAATGAGGATTTTCTGCTTTCAGGCCAGGTACACACCATTTTGTGGACCAGATATGGTGCATTGCGTTTTTACAGCGATTTTCCGGCGTTCCGGAGCGTTTTTTTTCTAGCTTAACTACTTGAAGACCAGGGTGTTAAACCCCCTTCCTATCCAGGTCATTTTTCAGTATTCAGCGCTACGGTACTTTGACATTTATTCCGTCATGCAACGTTGTACTGATATGAATTTTATAAAAAAATTTGGAGACAGATAGAGCTTTCTTTTGGTGGTATTTAATCACCACTGAGGGTTTTTATTTTTTACTATATACCTATGTTATGAAACATTTAATATAACCCAGATTTTTGATAAAATATAAGAGATGTGGTTACGTCGGGTAAATAGACACCAAACATGTCAAGCCTTAAAATTGTGAGTGCCCGCAAAATCGCAAAAAACTACCACACCCAAAATTGGACATAGACGAGGCTTTAAACGTTTTTACTGCTCATCAGTTTAGTATTATCAGTGATTAATGCCCCTAAAAGTATTGCTCACGATCCAACGTTTGTGGTGATATGTAACATTTGCGACGCAATGGTCGTTTTAGCACATAAGCGCGTGTTTGCGTGTGTATGTGGGGGCGGGGGACTTTAAAATTTTTTTGGTTTTTGACATTTTTTTATTGTGTGATTTTATTTTTTTATGCCTTTAATTTTTTTTAAACTTTTTTTTTACACTTAACTTTATCGCCATCACATAGGGGGCTAAGAAGCCCCCTATGTGATAGCCAATTTACGTGATAGGTCCTCTTAATGGAGACATCAGGGCTCTATAAGACCTCTAATGTCACCTAAGGACCCCCAGAGAAGCTGCTGAAGCAGCTTCTCTCCGGCTTCTGTAGCCGGGAATGACAGCCGAATGGGGAAGTGATGTAACATACATCACTTCCTGCATTATGACACCAGAGAGGAGAAAAGAGGGAGATCTGATCTCCGATGACAGAGCCGCCGTGACGGTCCTGGCCCACACCGGGCACATCGGCGGTGCACACCCGCACAAAATACAAGCGATTCATCGGCTCTATAGCCGCCAGAACGCTTGTATTTAAACAGCCATCACTAACTGTTTACAGTTTAGGTAGTTTTCCCACACACATGCGTGCTGGGTGAAAAAGATATTTTTAAGATCTTTCTGTTGAAACATTTTCTCATAAATATGTCTACTTGGGTTGACTGTGTGTGCACGCTTATGCATATCAAAAAGGAAGAAGGGAGAACAAAAAGACATACTTGCAATTCTAGGGAAAAACATTGCTTGGTTGGGAAAATCCAAGCTGATCAATTTTTCCTCTTTGAAAAGCATACCAAGTGGTGTCTACCATGGTTTGGGAATGCAATGAAACATGGGCATTTTTTTATCCAATTGCAACAAGCTGGATTGTGAAATTTAACTTATGAGTACTTCCTGGTTAAGCATAAGAAATAAGTATTTTTTTCCTTTTATTCTCAGCTATATCTAGTGGTTGTAATGCAGTACTACATCACAATACATTCAACCTGAAAAGAAAATATATAAAGAACATTTGTTTTTGTCATTATGCGCACAGAATAAATGTTCACAGAGATTCGCAGGGGAAAGGGCCCTGCTAATTGTTTATAAATAGAATGCTTGTTTACCATGTAAAGCACTGTATATTTCACATGCTTCATACTCACACCAGAAATTACTTTGGCATAGCTCTTAAAAGTGCTGTTCTAGTTTCGCAGTCAAATTTGAGAAAACCCCATTAAATGTGTTTCTTTTAACACAGCATACCGAAAAACAAAATGTTTTAAAAATTGTTTCTTACCTTTCTAGTTACTACTTAGGATAACATTTTTGGGCAGCAAGCTACTCTGAACAATTTCAAAGTGAAAGTGAAGGGGGACAAAGTGGGGACATGCTGAGTTTGTCTCATTAACATACAATGCAGAATCCAAGGCCTGAGAAGAACTCCAGGCAAAGTTTTTTTTTTGCCTCTGCAGTGGTGCTACCCCTGCACTGCAAGGGTTAAGTGCTCGTTTTCGTCTAGGGACAAAAATAGCAAAGTTTTACTCACCTGATCCTCGGGAGCTAGCTCCCCCTCGGCTTCAGTGGTCTAATTAACCTCGAGTCATCATGTCTTATACACTGTGTTTTTAATGTGAGGATTCAGAGGGACATATGATCCCTGGAGCGGAGGAGGAGACAGGCTGGGGGCAGCACTCTAACAGCCAGCCAGATTGAATATGACTTTAATAATATAATATAATTAATATAACTTATTTCTGCACCTTGATCAAAAAGAGCACTTAACCCTGGCAGTGTAGGAGTAGGTCCACTGCAAGGGTTATGAAAAAATGTGCCTGGAGTTTCTCTTTACCATTTTTTAGGTCAGTGTTCAAATCTGCCAGCACACAACAGGCTGAGTTAATAATGGTGAACATTAACTCCCAAAACACCTCATTAACATTACATAGCAGTTTTGACGTTTTCAGAAGAGCATGTAAAAAGGTAAGAAGCTATTTTTAAATATTTGTTTAAGTTCTGCTATGTGAATGAGAACATGTAACATGTAAATATTAGGTAAGCTGTGCCACATCCAAATTTGACTGTAAAAGTGGTAATACCCTTAATACACATGGAAAACCACAACAAAAGTATAACTCAAACATATTTTATCCTAGAATCTTTTTCTAATTTCTTTAGACCATAAAAGCACTGGAATTGCTCGTTAGACATACTGGCACACATGATGAAACTATCAAAATTCCGAGTTTTAGTCATTAATGAGAGGATTAGAAATACTTCAAGTAGAATTACAGTTTAATTAGCACTAAAAAAAGAACATTTTAAGATGAAAGCTCTTAATTAAAGAACGGAAAGTACTATCTGAACTGCCAGTGTGACGTTTTACAAAATCGGTGACATTGCCAGATGATCTACCTCAGTTACTGCTGTGCCACAAAATAGCTGGTATCCTCCCTCTCTGCATGCAGTGACAATATATATATGAAAGTTAGCCGGAGAGCAGAGGTGAAAGATGACAAACATCACATGGGAGGATTGGGAATTAAACTGTAAATCTGCAGGAGATTTTGTTTTTCCTAGCAGTTTTATGTAATCCTTTAAATTCTATATTTTCTATTTGCAGCAGCCCTTCACTTGTAGGTTTAGTTGTAAAGGAGTATTTTACAGAACAATGCAGTATAGATGGTAATCGTACAATAAGTGGTCATTTGGGGATGCTTAAAATTAATACTATTATGGAAGCAAAGTGCAATAGAAATACATGACAAAAATCTATACTGCTCTCTTCAACTACATTCTGCCAGGTGTACCTAAGATCTCTATGGTAATTATCACCTGTCACATTAAACAATATGCATGGCGCCTTATCAACACAATTTACATCTTATGGACACTAAAAAAAACAAAAACAAAAAAAACAGTTCACAGTACAGGCTTAACGTTATTCTAAGCATTCATACTCTCATACGAAACATATTTTGTTTGCAGTTTACTCTTTTTTTCTTGTTTTATTAAACCATAAACACAAGAGTAAAATTATGCAGCTGTTTTGAAGCGCCAGGTTTGACAAAGTGAACCACAGACAAGTTTATATCTGCAAGTGTTGCTAGGATGTAGGGTTATTTTGTGTTTAGCCAGTGAATATTATATAACAGAATGGTGGCAGATAGACACTGTCATATGGATTTATTATGTGTTATGCTAAGGGGCCCAACATAGGCATAAGGGTTCTATTAGGTCTAGACTGGCAATACAGCAACCTTAGCAAATGCCAAATGCCATTGGGTTAGTTGAGAGTATTTTGAGGCCACCATGAGCTACTGTGGGCTTCTCTTTCACACTCAGCTTTGCTTTCTATATATCTTTTTATTGTTAATATTTTAAGAAAACTGCCTATATATATGTGATACTGTATATTTTTCACATGCTTTACAGGGTTACAGGGTGCCAGCTCATGAACATGTTTGCTTTACTGGGTCAAACAAGATTTGGTCAAGTATACAAATGCTAGGTGTTATTCTGGACTCTGACCTCTCCTTCAGGCCCCACATCCAATCACTGACCAAATCTTGACGTATTGATCTCGGTAACATTTCAAAATTACCATATATACTCGAGTATAAGCCTGGTTTTTCAGCCCATTTTTTTTGCTGAAAAGTGCCCCCCTCGGCTTATACTCGAGTCAGCGTCTTGAGCTGGTCAGGTTTCTTCTTACTTACCTCGCCGCATCACTGCTGCTCCGGTGGGCGGCGCTCCGAGCGGGGTCATCTGGCAGTCTCCGGGTCCTAATTTAGGTGG